AGTGCACCACCAGATGTGTGGATCCGTGCTGTGAAGAAGTGACCAAATGTACCACCAGATGCGTGGAACCCTGCCGCAAGGAGGTGACCAAGTGCAGCACCAGATGCGTGGAACCATGCCGTGAGGAAGTGACCAAGTGTACCACCAGATGTGTAGATCCATGTTGTGAGAGAGTGACCAGGTGCACCACCAGATGCGTGGAACCCTCCTGTAAGGAGGTGACGAAGTGCACCACCAGATGTGTAGATCCATGCTGTGAAGAAATTTCCAAGTGCCCCACCAGGTACGTAGATCCATGCTGTGAGAGGGTGACCAAGTGCACCACCCGATGCGTGGATCCATGCTGTGTACCTGTGACCCTATGCGCTTCCACATTCGTGAATCCCTGCTACAGCAGAGTGACAAAATGCACCACCAGATGCGTTGATCCGTGTTGTGGGGAAGTGACCAGATGCACCACCAGGTGTGTGGATCCATGCTGTGAGAGAGTGACCAAGTGTACCACCAGATGCGAGGAACCCTGCTGCGAGGAGGTGACCAAGTGCCCCACCAGATGCGAGGAACCCTGTTGTGAGGAGGTGACCAAGTGCCCCACCAGATGCGAGGAACCCTGTTGTGAGGAGGTGACCAAGTGCTCCACCAAGTGTGTGGATCAGTGCTGTGAAGAAGTGACCAAGTGCCCCACCAGATGCGAGGAACCCTGCTGTGAGGAAGTGACCAAGTGCCCCACCAAGCGCGTGGATCCGTGCTGTGAGGGTGTCCAGGCTGTTACGAAGTGCGTGGATTCCTGTCCCACCACCTGTGTGACACAATCCACTCCCCAGTGTGTGGGTGTATGCTGCTCTCGCTGTGGCCGGCGCTACGCCATCAAGTGTGCAGATGTCTGCCGTCGTAAATGCAAAGTGGCTCCTTGAGGGGTTGCGTTTGGGGGGGCTCCTGCGGTGGGGCCTGCAAGGGAACCTGCAAGGGAACCCCACTCTGCAGTGCCTTTGCCTCACTGAGTCCCCAAAGGCTAAGGAATGAAAATGGTTTTCAGATCCCCGGACCTGCCGACATCGTCCTTGCATCTTTGCATTCCTAGAGCCCTTCCTGCCCCAGGAACAGTAAATCCTCAAATGGTTTTCCTTACATTCTACATAATGCTTTTCCTTGTAACATGTAACTAGCTGATTTTGTGCCCCCAGGAATATCGCCTGGGAGAGAGATTCTGTAATTCTTCTTTGTACTAACGTGGATGGCGGAATTTCTCCATTTGTTCTTTCTTGCCATCTTCTCCTTTTCTTTTATGAAGCAATAAAAGTAATTATCTTAGCATCTTAGCAGGTGTCTGCAAGTGTTTCCGTCATTTTCGCACTCCCCCAGAATCACACTTTTTCCTTTTAATTTTTTCCTGAAACCCTGGTCTCTGTAGGGTGGGACCTCTGGCTGGAACGCATGGGAAGGTCTAAGGCAATAACCAGAGACCTGGGACTCATCTGAGATATCCCAGATCATTACTGGGAGAGGGGATGCTGTAGGTCACTCTCCCATGGTTTTGAAAAGTCTTTGAAAACCCAACCATTTGGTGAAATGCTCCTCCAAAGCTGGAAGAGATTAGTGTCTGCATCCCGCAGACAGAACCAAAATGTTCCTTTACGAGCAGTGGGTAGATAAGCCACTAACGAGGGGAAGATGAGCAGGTCTGGGACACTGTTTGTGCCTCGTGACTTTGTCACCCCATGTGTAAGAGGCCCTATATCAGCCTTTTGCAATCAACTTCTGCTTCCTTGTCTTTGGTGGCAATTGGGCAAGCCTCATCAGTTAGGGAGACCGACACAGATTCCGTCCCTACTGAATTCTGCAAAAAACGTTATTAGTGTTAGCAAGGTGTCTTGGACAATTTTGGTAACTCTCCATGAACATCGGCTAACAGGATCCCACCAAATTTGTTTGCAAATTGCTTGCCCAGGAGCGAGCAACATTCTCAGGGACCCGAAGTCGTGCTGTTACACACGCCAAGGGTGGTGCTCTGCAGGTTTCCAGAGCAGAGGTGGTGCAGAGTGGGATCGGGCTCAGAGGCGACTGCTGAAGGGAGGAGGGACGGGGAGGCAGACTGCGGGGGAAGCCAGCCTGGGCGCAGCTCTGTCTGCGAGCACCGCCTGGCTCCTTCTTTAAAGATGCCCCAGGGCACGTGGTTGTGTACTAACCTGCAATTATCCCTGTCTCACTGTTTCTAGTAGAGGAGCCCGACTAATAGAGGGACACGGTAAATCATACCCAAAAAATGCGGCATTGCACGAGGGTTGGGGAGATCTGACCTCGCACAAATTGTTCCACCCTCACAGCTCTTCTGTTTCCAACCTCTCTCAACAGGTTGTGGCAGCCACGGGTTGTACGGCTCTCGCCACAGTGGGTCTCTGGAGTTTGGTGAGTGCTCTAGGCATTCTCTGAGCGCAAGTGCTGCTCAACAGAAATACCAAACCAATTGAAGCTTCCTAATCACCTCTCTGCAGAGGTCTGATCTGACTCCAAAATTCTTATAAAACTCACTAAAAAGTCCTGTTCAAGCAACAATTTCCTTTGCTCCTGCTCCTGAATCAAATGGACCGATCTCCTGGGAAATAAGAAACTGTAGGTGGAAAAAAAGGCATTCTGATAAGATTTTTTCCCTTAAACTATTTCACTGTAACATCCTTCTGAAGGCAAGATTCTTGCATTATCTTTAATCTTTCATATGAACGTGGAAACTCAGATTTTAGAAGGCTGAGACCATTAGCACATAGCAGACACTTCATTTCCAGGTGACCATCACAAGATTGTGCCATAGGAAGAGAAAGTTCCTGCCTGAACACCTGAATGTTGATGCTACTTCTATGAAATTCTTATAACAGTTTGGGAGAAAATTGCTGTTTGGCATGAGCAAATGTATTAGGCCCACGGTTCTTGCTCCATCAGGCAATGTGCTCTGAGCTCTGAAAAGTACCCCTCAGAGACCAGGACATGGTTTTATTCAGCCATGTAAAAAATCATAAGGAAAGCTCAATTCCCGTTCTAAAATCTTGGGAAATCGGAGCAAATATCTACGATAGTCAGAAGGCAAAAGATAAAACAGCTGAGGGTTTTTTCCTAACCACAGCTGGTTCCTCTTTTTCAGATTTAATTGCATTCAGATGCTCACTTATCATTCTTCATGGAGCACTCACCTTCCTGAGTAAACAGGAAAATCGTGCTGTATTTGGCTTCTTCTCAGCCCCAGAAGTCACGATCTAATTACTTGATCAAATAGTCCCTAGGGCATGGAGGAGACGAGCCCGCTTGTTTTCATGTGAGGCTAATTGCATTCTGCACTCAGCCTCCTGGCATCTCAGCTATGCGATGATTTCCAAAGCTGGAGCGATGGACCAGCAGCCTGGAGACCAGCCCCACCTGGAAGATGCTCTCGGTGCCGTATCACACCCTTGCGCCTTCCACAGGTCCTTGTGGTAGGGGATGGGACGATGAGAGGGGAAAATTGGGTGCAATGAACTCTCAGACTTTTAAGATTTAATCGCAACAATGTGCAGGGGAGTGGGCTGAGGAGACCTTGCCATGCTGAGAATATGGGGAGAATCCTTGATTGCTGTGAAAATGCTTTGCTCATCAAAATGTGGGTGGTGTACTGCATGGTATGCTGCACATATGCATGATGAAATCCCTGATACAGAGGAAGAAAACTTACCTAGGAGGCTTTTAGGTAAACCAAAGAAGTCCAGAGGTGTCATATTTTTAAAGAAAAGTGTTCAGGAGTTTATGGAATAGTTTTTTTTTCTAGCAGAAATCTAGTTGAACAGCCCCAAATGGTGCATATCTGAGTGGTTACACAGGGAAAAAAATTAAGTTTGAGATGTTTCCATCAAAAATCATGACATCTGCACATCCTGAATTTTTGTATTCATGTGAACAATCACGTCTCCGTGACCATGCGGTGTTTCATGTCTGCAGGCAAAATTTTTATAGCTATAGGAAATGGCTCTGATCCTGATGGTAGCTCTTGGTGTTGAGATACAAAGTCTCCCTTGGGTTTTTTGGATCCAAAAGTGTTGACCGTGTTCTTTTTTTAAAAAAAACTCTTCAGAAATATTCTCCTGAGCATGAGAATACAGTGCTCAGGGTGCTCCTCTTCTGCAGCACCAGACAAAGCTTTGGGTAGGTGGATTTGTCTCCTCCTGGCTCCAGGAACCTCTTCTGGTTCAGGTTCGCTTTCTGTCATGCTCTTTTCATCTAAGTGCTACCTATCACACCAGCCTCTGCTTCTGCAAGAGACGATGACAAGTGCCATTTAATTAAATAGATCCCAGAAGTGTCAGATTTGGGATCTATCACTTCTTTCCAGCTCTTTTGCCAAAGGAGGATAGCCACAGAACGATGTTGCTGTGGGGTCCTGACTCACTGAAGTTAATGTGACCAGTCAAATGACCAAATTGCTCATAAATATAATAGAGATCCACAAATAAGTGTCAGTTAAGAATAATAATCCAGTTCCCATATATTACAAATGAAGATCAATTTATATTTCCTAAAATGCCCGTTTCTCTTAGAAGTTGTTACAATTTCCTCCTAATCAAATATAACAATAGGGTGTACAATAACCTGCTATAGAAACGGAGACGTAGGACCAGTCCTAACTATTGGTTTCAAAGGTGAGCCCCAAGCCCTAGAAAAGCGTGAAGAACTGTACAAACCGGACCATGAGAAACTCCTTAGCGAGATAAATGTTGGAGGCTGTTGGACCTAAAAAGTACTGGAGGACAATTGCTTGCTCAGCATCACCCGGCAGGGTTAGCTCTGGGAGGAGAAGATGGGGAGAGATTATTTATCTGTCAAGATTTTAGACACCTAAATCTAAGCTAGTTGCTTCCTGCCCATTTTACAATCTGCAGTGTCTATTTGATGCACGTTTCTGCTCACCCTGAAGCAGACGCCTAACACTGTACAAGTCCCTATTTGGGTCTGGGGAGGAGAAATGATACACGATGCAGAGTCCGTGCCGCAAAGGAAGAGGAGTGGAAAGACTGAATGAACCATGAGGTGCTGCTGGGAGGATGTCAAGAGCAGTGCAAATCCATTCATTTACGTGGGATTGGGACAGGAATTCCAGCTTCCCCATGTAAACACTAGAAGGGAACCAATGCCGATGTCTGTAATTCTCTAGTGGAACTGCTGGTTTCCCGTGTAAACAGGATGTGCTGCTCATGCTGAATGGGTTGGTTTTTTCTTGTCCATTTAGCATTTGTGGAAGTGATCTCACTGGAGAATTTGGCCACCTAAATGTAGCCTGATGATCACGTTCCACCTCTGTGATTGGAATATCTCCAAGAAATAAAGATTTTCTGTGCTGCAGAGCAGAGTGAGGTATCACGATCAGCAAAAGGCTTCAGTATGGAGTCCTGGGCCTAAATCTCACTTAAACTGAAACCCTTTACACTGCTCTGGCAGTGAAAAAAATGCCTTCAAAATGCGTGATCCCTTTACTTTAACCTGAATGGTTTGAAGACAACCTCAAGGTAATTGGAGTTGTGTCCCTATTGGCATTGCCAAGCATGAATGTTGTTAATAGAGGATGGAGAGGAATGGGTTGTGTGTATTTAGTGGTTAAAAAGGTACTGGAGAAACAGATACCTCAACAGTTTGTGGAAGCGCTGGTGGCCCACTGTAGGATTAACTGTTTCTTACCATGAGAACTAGGACACGATATTTCTCATAGTAAATCAGATCGATTGTCCATCTTCCCTAATAATAGCTATCCATTCTCACTGCATTGAAAAAAACCCAAGGTATCATTCAGACGTTTATGGAAATAAAGACATGGAAATAGCCAAGCATATTAAATCTTTTTTTGGAAAGCAATGAATCTAGTATGTGATTTTTTTTTTAATTACTGTGTCATTCCTGTTGGGAACCATATGACTTGGGTACTAGGTGGAAGCAGAATTTGCTCAGTATCACATGTTCTTCCTGGAAGAAGGTTTCCATCAAAAATTAGGATGCAAACAAATATGGAAAGCATGTACAGGTGGAGCCTGTTCAGGTAGTTAGTGGTCAGGTATCCATACCCCTGAGCTCTCGTGTTTCCGGAGATGACGCCATGCAAGCAATATAAAAAGGTTTGCATTTTGATGCTCACACCAGTTCATTTGACTTCTCTCTCCCTCACTTGCATTGGTGAACTGGTAAGTCTTCGTTGGTTTTACCAGGAAATAATGCAATGTCTGTGCTACTTGGTTGTTCTGGTCAAAAGAATATATTACTGGTCACAGGAGAGCTTTGCTTCTGCTGTTTCCGTTCCAGGATTTGTCCTGGAATGGGGGAGAGGATGTTTGATTCTTGCTCTTCCCTAACTAGCTTGAGAATGTCATTCCAGGATTTGTCCCGGAATGGGGGAGAGGATGTTTGATTCTTGTTTAGAGTTTGCTCTTCCCTAACTAGCTTGAGAATGTCCTATCACCTCTTCAGAAACTGTGGCTGTCTTTCATCCTCCTTCGTGTTCTATCTTCATTAGTTTTTTTCATACCTCATTAAGTCTGGAAATGAAATAAATTAGTGGATGCTGCAGAGTAAGTCTTGGGACTTCAAAAGAAGCATTATGTGGAAGAAGGAAGCTGCAGAATACCTGAGGGCAAAGCTGTAGGAAATAAACTGGAATGAGGAGCTGCAGTCTCTGGGCCAACCCTTCTCTTGTGAAAGGATGAATGAGCCTGTTAATTTTGATACAACTCCAATGATGTAACATCGTATACGGACGGAGGATTTGGGATAGTGTCCAAATTTGTGGTCTTTGGGCTTTATCATTGGGGATTGGCAGGTCAATGTCTACACAAAGTGGGACGAGCTCTGTAGTGTGTGTGAGGAACTGAAGACGTGATAAGTAAAAGGTGGGCCCTGGAATGTCTGTTGATTTAATTAAGAAAATAAGGAAATGAACTATTTTCATGTTATGGCTTCTACAAAGTTTAACTCTGTGCAATTCTATAAAATTCAGGGTTTATGTCTCTAGTCTTCCTAATAGAGATGCCTGCAGGTTCTGAAGAAAGGAAGGAGTCATCTGGCAGATTTAGATGTATGTGTGTCAACCCAGAAATCATTCGCGCGTGCAATTTTTTTCGAACGGTCCATTTCTCAGTCCGACAGCTAACTGTTGTGTGTTTCAAGAGCTCAAGTTGTGGATTGTGGGTTGGGAAGAAAGGATGATTGTCCTGATTTTGTAACTCTCATCTTATCTTTGCCTTTAGCTTCACCACCACCTCCGAAGGATGTCTTACTACGAGCAGTGCAAGCAGCCCTGCCTGCCCCCTCCCATTTGCTCGCAGACACGCATCAAGAGCGTGGAGCCCTGCAAGACCGTGTGCGTGGAGCCCTGCAGCACCGTCTGCGTGAAGCCGTGTCCCACACCGTGCGTGGAGGTCTGCCCAACACCCTGTGCCACCCAGTGCACCACATCCTGCACCACCCAGTGCGTGGAGCCTTGTGCCACCCAGTGCGTGGAGTCCTGCACCACCCAGTGCGTGGAGCCTTGTGCCACCCAGTGCACCACGTCCTGCACAACCCAGTGCGTGGAGCCTTGTCCCACCCAGTGCGTGGAGTCCTGCGGCACGCAGTGCGTGGAAGTCTGTCCCCCTAAGTGCATTGACACCTGCGTAAAGCCGTGTCCCACTCAGTGCCCAACCCAGTGCACCACCCAGTGTGTGGAGCCCTGTGTCACCCAGTGTGCCACCAAGTGCGAGGAGCCCTGTATCACCCAGTGCGCCACCAAGTGCGTTGAATCCTGCGAGACCGTGTGCCTGGAGCCCTGCTCTCGCCCGTGCTAATCGCCTTAATGCATGAGCCTTGCGTGCAGCCCTGACGCTTCGGTGCGTTGCAATATCCATAGGCTCATGAGCATCCATAGAATGAAAAACAGGTTACAGACCCACTTGCGATGTACCGAGACCTCTCCTGACCTTGTTCTCTCTTTGCCCTGGAAAATATCTCTGAAGATTTCCAGCCTGCGTCTTTGCTTCCTATGATACTTCTGCTGCTGCTATCTCAGCACCTTTTTCTTGGTAACTGCAGTTGGCCGATATTATACTGCTGGGCATCTTGGGAAGTGATTTGCAATGGCTGTGCTGTAAGCAGTTGATGTTGGAAGATGTCTGCCCTTCTATTCTTTAATTCTCATCTTGGCTTTTAATGTATGTCCTCTTATCTTTTAATGTCTTTGTGCAGCAATAAAAATTGACCATCGATGGCATAACGTGTCTTCTGTCTTTCTTTCATCTCCCCGTTTCCATGTCTTTGGACCCAAGAACATCTTCCTTTAGTTTTCCTTCTAAAAGCTGTTATGGTTGTGGAGGGTTTGTAAATAGAGAAAGCACGCATTATGATGTGGAGCAAATTCTTCTAATTCCGTAAACAAAACATCATCCGGTCATTGCTTTTTTGACAGATATAAAAAAAATTTGTTTTGTCCTACTAGAAAATGCTTCTAATTCCGTAAACAAAGCATCATCCGGTCAATGCTTTTTTGACAGATATAAAAAAATTTGTTTTGTCCTACTAGAAAATAATGATAGACATTTAATTTTCACTTTTGTTAATGAGAGAATTTTGATCTTCATATCTGTGGATTTTGGAGGCAAACCTTAGAAACTGTAGAAAGGTAAATTTAAGTAGAAGAAAGCCCCAAGTTCAAGAGAGAAAGCATTGAAAAGTTCCTGCTGGGATTGTAATTATTTCTTAAAAACATTCTGATGGAGATGAAAATGGTGTTTTGATGAACTCTTCCCATGATCCTTATTGACTAAAGATAGAAAGTGGGGGGGTTGGCTTCAGTAGATGAATCTTTTTGTGGTTTGGGAACAGCTCCAAGCCTGGCAAGATTGCAGTTTTGTTTCCAGGTGTGCTGCAGATACTTTGTGTGGCTTTGGGCAGGTCTCACTTGTGTTATCTATCCGTTCCCCATCTGCAACGAGGAGAAGGCATATCCCCGACTGAGAGTGGCTGGCATTTCAGCTTCATTAACATCTGGCTGGTACAATAATATTTTAGTTCACTTTTGAATGCATCATCTTTATTTGGAATTGTAATTTTGAAATGGAAGGACGTCTGGAGGACGTTATGTCCATTTGAGTTTCAGAGATAATGCTCCCATTGTCTTCCACATTGTGCGTGTGACTCTCTTACCTCTGTCTCCATGATGGCCACGCAATTTCCACGTCTGGGCTGTAGAGAATTGCTATCCACCTACCGTATCATTATGGCAAGGGTGGAGAACATCTAATCTAGAAAAAAAAAGGAGTTATATTTAGGTGTGTGTAAACACTGTTACCAAATCAGCTTTTAATGAAGCCTTGTGTGCAGGTGTCAAGAGTTTGACGGTAGATTCCTTTTTGTGTTATTTCTGTCGACACCTAAAGGTGACACCATCAAACAGGAATAATGATAGGCAAAACATGTCGCAGTGAGGCAAACAAATTCTACACCTGAACACGCCTTTCCGTTCAGATAGACAAAGCAGGGGTAGGTGGACCAGATGTTCAACAGCGTGAAAATGGAGGGGGAGACTAGAAACGTGCGCCTTGAGTTCCTACTGTTGAACGCAAACTTTTGGGGATTTGGCAATTAACTCTGCCATCCGTAACCTCACTAATAACCGCTTGCCGCTGCCACATGTGTAGCATCAGTGCCCGCTTTCAGGCATGGAAAAAGTCTTAGTCAGGAAGTCATGTGCAGCTACTAATGACATCCATCCCATAGGTTAGTCACCTATGACTGATTCCCGAGCATCTTCATCCAGCTCTATCAGCTGTCTCAGCCATTTCAAATTTCCTTTCCTCTCTCCCTCTGTGCTGTGAGCATTGCACCACGAGCAGTAATCACAGGTGGGAGCACGCAGCAATGAAAAACCCAGAAGAAGCATCAGGAGACCTCTTGGTTTGTGCTCATCATGCTTCCTGTGCCTGTAGGAAAAAGCATTGCAAAAGCCCTGACACACCGCTCTCCTATGCGCCTGTGGTTAGTTCCCAGCATTGCTGAGATTCTCCTGGATATTTACAACGAATTAGTGACATTTGGTCCATGTCAACCTCGGGGTCATTAATCCCCCTGGTAAATCAGGCGTGAGTCAGGGATGTTAAGATACGGGATGAGATTTTTTTTCCATTAGCACCTTCTGCTCTTCTACGCCCATGGAAGCCGCGTCCGTCATCTCTCCGTGTATCACACATCTGTAATGCAGACTGGGCTGTAATTCGTAGGGCTGAATACGACCCCACAGGGCATAGCATTTAGGAATACCCAAGGGAGGCTTCAACTACCTTTTCCATTAGAGCTAAATGCAATGTTTCAGTTGATACATTTTCTCTGTTCCTTCCTTGGAAAAAATCCAAGGGGAACCGACATTTTTCTGAAACATGGATCCATCTCCAGAAAAAAGAAATTCTGCCACAACTTCAGCAAGCCAAGCCCAGTGTTTGTAAATAAGAAGTTTTATTTGCTTCAGTGAAAAGCTACATGAAAGCGCAAGAAAAAAATTAGGGGAAAGCTTTCTAATTTCTCGGTAATATAAAATGTTTCATTCCCCTTCTGGGGAAGGAAAATAGAGAGGGACAGAAGCAAAATTTGAAAACACAAACTGCCAAACACAGACCTGCTACCCTTCCCAGGAGCCGGGATGCAGCACACAGACCTCCCACACCTGACTCAGATTGAAGCCAGCTGGAGATCTGTCCTGGTGATCACAGACAAAAATACCAGGGAACACCTAAACCTTATGCAAACATGTTCTGGTAACTCCAGCACGGATCTGAGCCATCTCTCAAACCTGAGTCTGGTTGTGGGATCTTTGCCCAGGGTCGGGACAAGATTGATTATTAATAAATTAGCCAGTTATTACCAGATGGGGTGTGCCTCACATTAAAAACAACAAATCCCCCGCACCTGGAAGAGGAGGCATCTTTCAGACCTTGACTGAGGTCCAGGTGTACGGAGGTGTCAGTGGAGCAGGTTCTGGTTGTGAAAGATTCTGGTCACCAGGTTTATCTGTTGTCATCACCTTCTGGGGCCAACTTCTGAAAGTGTATAAAAGCCTCCCATTGGGGAGGTTCTTTAATCTGGGTGCCTTCTTCCCTTCCTCTAGCAGCAGGAGACACTTGGTGAGTCCATCTCTGTCTGTTTAGTTATCTAGGTGGGGATTTCTGGGGCTCTATTCTTGGAAGATGGTGATTTTTCTTTAGTTTGTTTCTCTAGTAACAGTTTCAGCCCCTTTCCCTGGCAATTTCATTTTCATGTAGGTGAAAATATTCCATATTAAGTTATTTTGTGATTTTTTTTTCTGAGGCTCCAGACAGTGGCTTGCTGACTTTTTAGAGCAGCAAACTCTTGTTAACCCTCATCTTTTTTTCCAAGTGATAAGAATCCTTGTGGATAACCACGGGGTACTGGGTATCGGCTACCAAAGGGTGGCATCCACCGGCATCTTGCTTGGCATCTGTTGAGCAGCCGTGGGCTGATCGCCACAGTCTCCTGGATCTCCAGGGCTCTGAGTTTTACTTCTTTGTGTAAAACCATCTCATCACTGAGCAGGAGGACAGGTCACCTGCACTGACAGCCAGAGACACGGCTCCTGCTTGGAGGATCTCAGTGAAATAAGCAGAGATGTGGCTGTTGCTAGACGGGATTGCTGTCAAGTGATACTGAAATGTTGCTGGCTTGCAGCTCCTACTGCTCTGAGGTTCTCCTTGAACTAAGTGTGCTTTCGTTAAAATTTTTATCATTTAATTTTTTCAAAGGTGAAATGCTCAGAAAATAGTGAGTAGAGGGCAAGAATTCCTCTCGTTGTTTCCCTCCTATCCTGCACCCCACTTCTGTTTGGATCACAACTTTGTTAGGATGCTGCTCGCTTCTTATATTAATTCATGCTTATATACAGTTACACCCTGAGGCCTCAGCAGAGGGGTTGAACTCATAGAGGTGAAGTGGTGGATGCCCAGAAAAGCAAATTGGGGCAGCTACAGCAAACTGGAGTCACCAACACAAATTTGGTCTGAACAGTAGAATGATAATATCCAGGAAGGAGAACTGTGTAGGGCTTAAAATAACTGTAAACGGCACCTTGGTTGTCTTCCAGGCTTAGCAAAGATGTCTTCCCACCAGCAGAAACAGCAGCAGCAATTACCTTCAAAATGCCAGGAAAAGTGTCCTCCAAAGTCTGTGGAGCAAAGCCAGGCCCCGAAAGGGCAAGCCAAGTGTCCTGTGAAGAGCATCCCGCAGCAGCAGCAGCAACAGGAAAGCAGAAGTAGCGCTAGCAGAACCGGCCACAAAGTGCCGTGGAAGATGCGAACGCTTATTTCCAAGCTCTCCTCTCTGCTGGCTCTGCCAGAATAGCTAGAGATCTGCAGCATGCCTCCTTTGTTTGCAAGCAGAAATTACAAAGCGATGCAATTCATTAACTTGTATTTATTCATCCTTTACTCTAAAAAAAAATTCATGGGGCCATTTTCTTCTGATCTTTAATTCGCAACACACTACAATAAAATTAAAATGAACCTCACTACTTGCTTCATGATATTTTTTCACTTTGCTAGTGTCATGCATTCTCTTTTGCTTTCTTTTAGTAGCTGGAGAATCACCTTTAATATAAAGGCACACATACACAAGGATCCATGCACATTCACCTTCCAGATTTCCCAAAGGTTTCTTTGTCCATGTTTTTATTTCAGACGGGTCTAGAAACCTACAGCTATTAATATGGTGACTAAGTAGACCAGAAATGGTCTAAAGCAAACAGGACAGAAAATGATCACAATTTCTAGAAAAACCATTTGAATTCAGGCTCTTTTGGGGCAGAGCAGCTCCCTGGGTGTCAAAACTGACTCAGGACCAATGTGTTTCCCCATCTCAGGGCAGCCTCACCAGTTATTTTCATCCTGCTCTGGAACACCCTTGGGAAACTCAGTTTTCTGCCAGGTATAATATTCTGAACTATATACTTTGGGGGTCTATCAAAGCAATTAACTGTGATTTTTCACTCTCTGCTCTATTGTAACTGCTGAGAGGAAAATTGTCTTAGGAAGATTTTAACACTGAAAGGAAGCTTTTGCTTGGTCAGAACAAATAGTTTTGGTTTTAAATGAATCAGGAACAAAATCCAGAATGTTTTGGTTTCTTAGTGGGAAATAGGGGCTTGACTAATTGATTTCCCGTTGGCTGTGTGGCAGAATAGAGGAAGAAAATTATTGTAAATATCAAAGATTTGGAGTGATACGATACTGGTGCCTGGCAGCCAGACACAAGCTTGCTCTGCAAACCCGAAGCGTGTGTCTCTGCTCAGACGATGAGGTTGGATGCATCTAACACCCATCTATCAGGTATGGGGCCAAACCAGTGAGATTACATCGCTCCTGGCTCAGCTGAGGTGTGGGAAAAACTTGTTTGCTTGTGCTTCCAACCTGCCTCCTAGACATGCCCGTGCCTTGTGTCTGCTGAAGGTCACAGAGTGGTTGTGAACACCTTTAAATCGGGCAGGTTGGCCATAGGGTCAGCTTGGTGTGAGCCACTGCCGTGTGCCCTGCTCCGGAACCTCACTGAGAGGTGTTTCAGTGCAATTAGTGCTTTAGTGCAATTAGCTTTTGGGTATTGGCCAGCCCGTGGACTGACACGGTGCAGAGCCTCTCGCAGATTCTCCAACCCAGGCACCTGGAGAGGAGCAGCAGACCCAGGGTCCCTTGCAAGCACCCGCGTTTCTGAGTCCTGATTTTCCTGGCTTTGAGCCTAGAAAATGACCAACTGTAACAAGCTGAGGCTCCTTTTTAAGAAGAAGTTATTAAAAAAATCTCCACAACTTGGTATTCGAAGTAATTTTTATTGTTGATTTTCACAGTGAAATAAATCCTGGATACAATGTCAGCCTAAAATAATTAGAGATAAGTACCAAATACATGTGCAACAACACCACGTGGTGAGACATGTTCCAGGGTGTAATTGAGCCAGCACCGTGTAAGCTTCCTGCTTTATCCTGTCTAACAGATGGAAGCCACGCCTGAGGTTAATCTATTTCAGAACATGTCTGGGTTGGATTTAATTATCTAGAAATTTATTTCTATGAAGAATCTCAGCTTGAGATGTTCTTTTACACATCCTAGAAAATCCAAGATGAGCTCTCTGAGGAAAGCACTGATTGCTACCAGTTCAGCTAAGCAGATAATTAAGAGGTGATGGCTCTTTTGTAAAAATCTTTCTGTTTCCTCTAGCCCAATGGATTTTTTTTAATTGCATAACATATTCAGCACTATGGATTCATGACTCAGAAACTCTTCTTGCCATTGACCAGAACCCCTTAGCAGCAGGTTCTGCATAAACCTCAAATCTTATTATTAATAGTCAAAACCCCTAAATGGAAGGTGGGAGATGGTATTTGTGTTTGGGGAGGAAGGGACAAAAACCAGGAGGTTTGAATATTTAGCTTATTGAGACCCAACTCAAGCATGCCACCATGCTCCTCAGTCTCGCTCTGGGGCTTTCAAAGCCAGCGGGATGATGGGGAGAGGGCAGAAATTCAAGCCACTGGAAAGCTGAATGCACATGCCTACGACACCCCTTGAAGCTTTATTATCTATCGTCAGTCCCAACGTGTCAGTTAGCGTGTGGGCGTTAGTAGAGGATTACGCTAGCATTAGCTGGGGGCGGGGAGCAGGGAGCTGTGCTGCTTAGCAGAAATTCTGCGGTGAATAAAAGGGTGTTGGAAAATGATCTCTGATCGTGAGACATGGGGAGGAGGAGGAGGTCTGGGTTTGCAACCTTCTTCTCTCTTCAGGGCTTCCCTTGTCAGCTGCAAGTTACTTCTGCGCCGGAGGCCACTGGGTGGGCTGCTTCACCTGCTGCTGCTCAATGGGAGGACGCTTCTCCGGAAGGGAGGACTTCCCCTGCTCGGGGCAGGGAGCTGGGACGGGCACGGGGGTCTCCTTGCTCTCCTGCTTCTGCTGGGGACATGGTACAGGTTCAGGGTCTGGAACAGGGACTGGGGCAGGGGTCTTCTTGTGCTCCTGCTTCTGCTGGGGACACGGTGCAGGTTCAGGGTCTGGAACAGGGATCGGTGCAGGGGTCTCCTTGCTCTCCTGCTTCTCCTGAGGATGTGGTTCAGGGTCTGGAACAGGGATCGGCACAGGGATCTCCTTGTGCTCCTGCTTCTGCTGGGGACACGGTGCAGGTTCAGGGTCTGGAATAGGGACTGGCAGAGGGGTCTCCTTGTGCTCCTGCTTCTGCTGGGGACATGGTGCAGGTTCAGGGTCTGGAGCAGGGACAGGCACAGGGATTTCCTTGTGTTGCTGCTTCTCCTGGGGATGTGCTTCAGCCTCCGAGGAGGTAGCAGGAACTGGCACGGGGGTCTCCTTGCATT